AGTGACGCTCTTCTTGTTAAAGTTATAGTATTGTTAGTTGGAAAAACTTATCACATTTCATATAAAAGAGCAATCATCCGGAAATTGAAAGATCCGTGGTTCTAGTCCCGGTCCAGTCAGTCCAGCGATCCATTTTTTTCACGAATCCCACAATATGATAATTACAAAAAAAGGAAAACTACTACTGAAATTAAAATTTTAATTGGAATATATTGCGAATAATACACAGAGGAATGAATGAATTATAAATTGTGAATTATTTTTAGCGGTGAACGGGTATTGAGGTCTCGGCAACACGAACGCGGAACCAGTCAGGAAAGGCGATACAAAAGAAGTCATCGTCGTTCACCTAGCAGTGGTAGACAGCACGGACATCGTGATCGTGATCGTACCCACCTGGCGCATCCGACCTCGTCGCGTCGTGTGCGAATTCACCGACACCATGGGTCCTCCTCGCCTAGCCAGGAAAGGCATCGCCATCGTTCACCATCATCCAGGAGTCAGGTGAGTCGAAATAGTTTCAAAGATAAAACGATTAAACGTAATGGAAGGGAAACACGAATTCGTCGTCGGTAATATTTATTTATTTTTATATTCTTTGGTTGTTTATTTTTTATTTTTTTTTTTTTAATACATTTTTTTTCTTCATCGTATTTTTATATATATATATATATGTATATAATCGGGCGTTCTCTCTTTTCATCAATCAACGAGATTTTAATAATTATGAAATAAAAAAACAAGGGGTTCATAAAAATTGTATTTTTTTTGATCGGTGCATTGTAAGGGAGGAGGGTTGGGGTTTTTTTCGTAGATCAATGAAACTCCCTGAGCCAGACCCCTTCGACTTTTATAAAACATTTCTTCTATCGGCAAATAAGATATTTTATACTAAGAAATAATAATGGTACTCCGTTCTTAACGTTTAAATAATTATTACTTTTTCTACACTCTCTCACGTCTAACATAATATTACCACCTATACTAATGAAAAATTCAATGCAAAAAAAGAAAATGCTTTATGTTTTAGAAATTTTTTATTTTCAGAGAAAATCATTGAATAGGTATAGTGTGATAAATGTAGAAACATCTTAGCTCGTCCATTACCTGGAAATATGAGAGAATCTTCTTTAGCTCTAGCTAAGCATTTAATATCCCCGTTAGGTTCGTTCTACCTTCTACCTCTTCCTCTTTCCTCTCTTTTTCCACTATCATTTTCTACTTCCTTCCCGAGCTCTAGACTTTCCTTTATGCGTCGTTGCGTTTGATACGAGACACCAGAGTAGAAAAAGAATTGTATTGTGTTATGCGTTTCTTCCTATATCGAAATTTCATTTGAACGTCGTTGAGATCAAAAAAATCCAGATGATGGAATCAAAGACTACGATGTAGAAGAAAGGAAATAAAGAAAGAGAGAGAGAGAAGAACAAATTACTTTTGGGTGGATGATACGGCGAAGCAAATTTTCTAATACTGGAGAGAAGCTATAGCAAAAGTGTTAAAGACCAATGAAAGCTCTTCTCCTTCTTCTTCTTCTTTCTCTTTCTTTTTCTCTTTCTATCCCTTTCTCTTTTTCGCTTGCGTACCAAAGCGAATGCCGATGATTCTTCTTTCTTACTCGGCGTCGGCTATTTTAGAACGGGGACTATTTTCGAGGGGGACTCTCGTCGTCGTCACGCGTTTTCGCCGCGAGTTTTAGTGCGAGTTTGCGCCAGATGGCTGGTGCAACGTCTTCGTCGTCGTCGTCGTTGTCGTCGTTATCCTCAGGGATAAATTGTTCTTCTTGTTGTTGTCGTCGTCATCGTCATAATCGTCATCGTCATCGACATTTTCCTACTCCTCTTTCTCCATCTTTTTCTCTTATCATTGAAAAGAGAAGAATCGATTGGAAAATTTGAGCTTGAGCTTTCTTACTGGTCCTCTTCGATCGATCTATGTAAATCGATAATGGGTTCTTGAAAAAGGATACTTCAAGAAGATGGGTAAAAGTGAAGAAGGGATGAATAATAATTGGATGTAAATCGAATGGAAACACTTATCTATCTCGTTTGGATTATTAATCTGAAGGAAGAAAAAACAAGGCAAGGATCTTAAAGAAGAAATAAGGCAAGGGTCTTAAAGAAGAAATAAGGCAAGGGTCTTAAAGAAGAAAAACTTAGCCAATTGGAGAGAAATACATTTAGAGGATATCGAGAACGGTGGTGTCCCCTCTGACCCAGAAAACGTTTTAAAAGCTGGATCTAGAAATACGCGTTCCTCTTGGCAACATGCGTAAGTTGTGAGTGAGAGACAGACGTAAACTCGTGCGTGTCCATTATCCTATCACGCAAAAGTTACTGTCGGGTGTATTATCGACAAAACGAGAAATCCAAATAGAAAACCTAACGAGATAGAATCCATCCTGGATCATCCTGGGAGTTGGATAACATACGACGGTGGTCCACCACCAACAGCGACCACCTCGTCGTCGTCATCGTCATCGTCGTTGTCTTCTTCTTCTTCTTTGTCCACGGTTTCATCATTTTCAACGATGAACGGACAAGAATTAGGCTTGTTGATGCCTACCGAGGTTTCTTGGTGGCCAAGACAAGCTGTATGGGATAACTGGTTACCAAGGAATGTTCCAGAGATGACGACGACGACGATGGCGACAACGACAATGACGGGGGCGACGACGATGACGAATATTCATTGCTTCGACGCTAAACTCGATGTCACACCGGAATCCAACAGCACGTCGACTTCAGAGGTAGCACGAAAATTATGATGAGATCTTTGGATTTCTATTCTACATCTTATTCATTCCTTTGCGTGGGTCTCGATAGTGTGTGCAATTATGCTATTTATTTTTCTTTTGTTTTGTTTTATTCTATGCTTGTTTTGACGCGTGACCAAAACTATTCTTACAATTCTCTATCTATCTATCTATTTATTTTCAATAAACTTTTCTCATGCCATTTGTTTACCACAACTATATTTATAATACGATTTAAGTAATCCTGTAGAAAGGCCGGTATTATTCGCGTGTTTCATTTAAGATGCTCCCGCAGAGAGAGAGAGAGCGGCATATGCGCCAACTTTTGTAGCACCGTTATGGCCGCCAACAGATACAAGCTAGCTCAAGCCCTCTCCTACTGCCGATTTATATTTGTCCTAACAAGTCTACGAGAAAACGAGAGTTACAATTTCTCGTGTTAGAAAATATGCTTGATCCAACTCCCGACCTATCTTTCTTTATTATATTCAATACATTTGTATGCAATAGAAAAATGTAGAGAACCAGAAAGAGAGAGAGAAAAATAGAAAAGATATTTTTATCATATTTTTTTTTTTTTTTTNTTTTTTTTTTTTTTTTAGCAAGCTTACTTATTTCTACGAGCACAAAAATTCAAGTTAGTTATTCAAGTATCATCATCATCATCATCATCATCATCCAAATATAGGACAATTATTCTTTTGATCATGTTAAGATTAACAGTAAAGTTCTCTCTCTATTTGCGTGATATGTTGATCAAGATAGAAGTAGAAGACTTACCATAAGAGATTAATTCCGTAAGTTGATCTTCCTCGGCTTAAACGGTAGTACATATTACTATGCAGAACTTTTCGTAGTAGTAATTTGATATTAGCGTTGACCTTAAGACGCGTAAGAGATCACTATGATCAAAGTAAAAAAGAAGAAAGAATCGGTTCTTCATTGGATTGGTCACTACTTTCGAATGTCCAACAAATTAAAATGTTATTTTTCACCCCACATTGAGCTTATTTATATATCGGTAAATCGCAGTTTGTATACGATACCTCTCTCTCTTTCTCTCTCTGTTCCTCTGTAAGGTACACGATGACGACCTTGAAGAGACACAAGCCGAGCTTTATTAATAGTTTTACGCGGAGAGTCCACGAACCCGCCCACTGATTTGTACGTCGACCGACCGACCGACCGACGATGTCGAAGATATGCTGTGCTGTTACTACTACTGCTGGTATTCTAGCTGGGCCCCGTCTGTTGGCGGTCCTAGAGGATCCTAATTTCTAATTCGATCTAAGCTTCCGCGCGTAACTCTCGATCGATCATCTAATCGATCTTTTCTTCTTCATCATTATCATGACCCACAAATATTACAATCAGTTTTTGAGGTCGTCTAAATCAAACTTGATGTATCTCGGTCGATGACGAACTCCAATTCCACCGAGGAGACGAAATGTCTACGAGACATTACGTCTACTTAAAGCTATCGAAACCGTTTTCATTTCGTAATCGTTTTTATCCATGTCAAGGTACTACAATAAGATGTGTCTATGTGTGTGTGCATTATTGAGTAGGGAAATTCAGTGCATGTTATGATAAATCATTTACCTGATCTTTTAATACGTGCTTGGTGGGGTAGTTAGGTATATACCAGGAAGTAAGGAAGCTTTGCCAATGACGAGGACAATTTTCTCTAATTAATGAATCGTATCGAAATAGTTACATTATAAAATTCATTTCATTCTATTCTTCATTTATTAAACTATCGATCTTGTTCCACAATTAGATAGTTTTTCTAATAATATAATATCATTTGAAATTGTTCCTTTAGAGTGGTGTTATTCAAACCAAACTGTTATTTTATAACACGATGAGGAGGTATACTTGTATGTTAGACCAAGGAAGACAATTTACGTAATATTATTCGCAATCTTCTCTTTCTTCCCTTTTTTTTCTCTCAAATACTTCTCCCCCTCTTTCTCTTTCTTACTCATACTCTTTCTCGGTGAAAGAGAAAGAAAGATAGAGTAATGTTATGCGTGTGTATGCGTGTAGGTAAGACATCGTTTGGAGTTTGGGTGAGCGGGCTTCTTGCGATCGCTCCTCGATATTTTTAGTTGCAAGAAGAGTATTTGGCGGGGCGTACCTCGGTGACCCCTCGCACCACGTCTCTCTCTTCTTCTCTTCTTCTTCTTCTTCTTCTCTTCGCAAACGTTTCTCAGCGTCCTCATCTCTGTTCGCATCGTTTTCGTCGACGTTGCTTTAGTGGCTCTGTTCGCGTCCCTCTCGATTGACGCGTTCTTCGCGATCGACTCTTACAGAGGAAAAGAGATTAGTATCATCATCATCATCATTATCATCATCATCATCATTGCAAGTATATAAGGGCTGCTTCTCACAAACGATCGATCATCAAGAATTCTCAAGATATAATATCAAACCTTCTTCGATGATATGATGATGATGATAATGATGATGATGCATTCTTCTATAATGATGACGACGACCTTGATCGATGTCTCTTCTTACGGTGGATCAAGCAATCTTCTTCTTGGCCCTAGACCCTGACCATTCAGAACTTCGTCCAACAGATCTATCATTGTTCTGATTAATATTCTTGACTTTTTTTTCTAACTTGACTTATTTATTGAAAGTTCTTTTTCGCGTTGTTTTTGTGAACAATACGAATCTAGCAAAGTGCAACTTGAGTGTCTGTTAACATTTTTCTAGTTGAGTGTGTTAAATTTTTGATTGAAGGAAAAAAATAAAAAGAATTAAAATCAGTTCGATCCAGTCTTGATCAGATCGTTTATTTTTCTTTTTTAATTCGAATTGAGCGTGAAATAATTGGTTTTGCTGAACGTAGTATCAATCAAGTCGACCGTACCTCGGACGGTCGACTAATCGGCGATCGTCGATTGTCATCTACCATTTCATCATCTACACGATCATAGCAACAGCAACAGCAAGATGTTCATATTCGCCCAACGCGACGGTATGTCGGCTAACAGCAGACAAGGATCTACATCAAGACGTAATCGTTACGCTCGTTCATCGACAACGACCAGTGTAACGCAACTTTTAACAGATTCTTGCAGTAATTTACTGCAACGATTGACTACCAGGGTACGTGGCACTTCTACAGCCAATGACCGATCGATCGGAACAAGACGATCACCAATCAATGCTAGCAATTATCTTAGCAATGCAAGGACTAGATTAGAAGATAAATATTCTTCTATATTGGACAAGTATACCAATAGGAAAACAATCGATGATAAGGAAAAGAGTATAGATCTTAGTAATAGTAATATCAATATTGCTGGTTATTTTCGAAGGAAGGATGAACGGGAACATAGTTTTCATCGAAGAGATTCATACGGCAGGGATGAAAAAACATTGGAACCATCGTTGCCAAGATCGGTTATTAAAAGTACCACCAATGTACTTCTCAGTGAGAAAGCTTATCCATATGTAAGTTCTGCAACTAATAAAGAATTGAAACGTGAGAAAACACCTGGTTATCGTAGGACATCAGATAGACAAACTCTGTTAAGTTCAGAAGCTTACCGACGTTATGGTAGGCACAAATCCGGTCACGCTGAAACACGCAATAGAAAGGTCAGACCACATCGGAATGGTAAAAGCGAACAACTCGATTGCAAGTCGACCTCTTCTCTTAGATCTTTAGCTCGGCCAAGCAGAGTAGAACCTTTGAGCTTAGTTGCTGGCAAGGAAGTTCTTAACGATCCAGAGAAAACACCAACCGATGGTGGTGGTGGTGGTGGTGTTAGCGGTAGTGGTGGTGCTAGTAATGGTGATTGTACTACTATTGTAGACGATGCTATACCTAAAAAAGAGCTAAAGAATAGCGACGTTAACGAAGAAGTTGATCCTGCTATTTCCGAAAGAGCAGCCAGACGCAAAGAGATTCAAAGTTTGATTATGAAATACGCGGCTATGGATGAGGCTTTCAGCGAAATTGCTGCTACTGGTGGTCAAGGAAATGCTAAACCAAGTACTACAGATATCATCGCTAGCAAGTATAAGAAGAATACTCATGGTAGTAATAACAAAAAGGATATCACGAAGAATTCTTACGCGTCAAATACTTCTTCCTCCTCTACTGTCATTAACGAGTTGGATACGAATCACGCGATCGTAAGTTGTCGAGCCACGAGTAATGGTGTTGCTGTTGCTGTTGTTATCGATAATTATTATAATATAATAATAATAATAATAATGGTGATTATAATTCTCGATTAATAAGGGATCGTCATTCGTTTTCTTTATAGGATCGATAATATATCCCTGTTGAGATTCAACTTATCCTTTGCAATGCTTTTATTTAAATATTTGTTTTTTCTTTTAAATGACCAATACGAAAATTCGTTGGATGGGATATGTTATTAAAAATATATCAAACGTCTTTTCGTGCTTCCCAAGATTTTCGATATTTGGCACGCTGGTGTGTAACTTTCACGATTTGCGTCTTTTCAACATTTTCAAAAAGATCATCATCGTCGCGAATTAGTGTGCTTTTAAAATTGGAAACGTTTGACGTCTGAAACGTTGAAATATACATACAGGATGTTTCAATTTAATAATTCGATTCAACAAACATTTTTATTCTTAGTAATCAATTGAACGATTTTTTATTTTTTTCTTATACATAAAAAGTATAAGAAACCAACGTGATCTATGTTGAAAATATAGTAGGTTGATGGTCCATCGTAGAAAATAGTATTTGATATTTTTGGTAAATAAGAAAAATTGAAAAAGAAATTGCATAAACAAGTTTTTAAAGTCGTACAGGTAATATAGTCACCAGCACGCCAAATAACGACTCGTGTTACAGAAAATAATGCACGTTCTGTAATAATAACAATCCTATATGTTTGCGTGAGAGAGTTTTCTTTTTTCATGTATTTAGAACCATAAACTCCTGCTCGATCTCCACAATCTTTTATTTTTATTTAACGATCAAACTATAAAGTAATACACACATTTGTGCTTAATAAAAAACATGTCGATCGGATCTTATCGACATTATTAACAAACGTTTTCTTTTATTTAAAATACGTGTTACGTTTATTTTCTAATTCTTGAATTAGATCAAAAATGAATGTTTTTTTCTAAAATTCAGATCTTTTTTTTTTTTACACAACCGTCGATAAGACGTAGATCGAGATCACGTTTGTTGGTTTCTTTTTGTTTCATAAATTTTGGTTTTTCTCTTTTTTATTATTATTATTATTAATATTAGCGTGTTTAACGCGTATGATCGTTGAGGATCGTAATGTGGCACGTTAACTTTCTATTAACGTAAGTATATTTAACATATTTGTGAGCTTTTGTCGATACGAGTCAAGAGTAACGAAAGTAAGATATATAAGTAGTTAATTATTTAATTAACAATAATTAAAACAAAAAAAAAAAATATACAGAATATAATATTTACTGCATGCGAACGGAGTACCATTTTCTCGTTTTTCATTTCGTTATACAATTTTTCAAATGACACACATTTTATCTTATTCTATCCTAGTTATTATAATATTACTATAATGTAGTTACTATATTTATTTAAAAAAGGGGTAATGGCTTAATCGGGAGAAAACGCGATAAATGTAAAGATAAAATTAAAAATATATATATCATAAATGTAAATATATATATATATCAATACATGCATGTCGTTTTTTAATAATCGTAAATTTGAATCGGTTAATCGTTTTAAACAATACAATATTAACGCGTTTTACATACAATATCGTATGGACTCGAGAAACACGTGTTGATACTTTCTCTACTTTTTCTCTATCCGCCTATAGTACATATTATCATAGATAATCCATATGTATTTAATTAATTTATCGTCGTTCGATATTGTACATAAATATATATATATATATATATATATATATATATATAAAATTCGTCGTAGTTAGAGTCGTTCCGGAATATCGAGAGGGCTAGCGAGACACGCAAAATCGAATTAAATGACGAGGGAGGGGTTTAGGTTTAAATCGATAGTTATTATATAAGGGGAAAAATATATATATATATATATTAAAAAATAACGGGGTAGAAAGAAAATGTCGGATAATAATAATTAGACGAATATGACGGTGCGAGTAACGATGGTAATTAATAATAAATACAATGAAGAATAATAATAATTATAATAATAATAAGAGTAATATAAAATCAATAATAATAAGTGAATATATATATATATGGTAAAGATAATAATAATCATAATAATAATCATACTATAAATAATAATAATAAAATTACGGTAACAAAAAAAATAAGTAAGGGTTATATATATATTTAAAAGAAAGAAAAACGAAAAAATATGTGCTTTGTGCCGATGGTAAATTCGTAACCGCAACTTTCTGACTTGGCAAACCATTTTGCCCTCTCCCCTTTCTCTCTGATTGTTGGGTTACCATCTCCGTTGTAATGGAATGGAATGGAATGGAAATGGCTATGGCACACGGATTGGTCACTATGGTCGACTGGGCACTCGGATTATGGTTGGTCTCTCTCTCTGTCTCGATGATGATGATGAAAATGATGATGATGATGATGATGAAAATGACGATAATGATGATGACGATAATGACGGTGTATCCTTCCTGTTCCTCCCCCCACCGACACATTCTAACGTTCGTCCGTGGTTACACACGTCCTCTGCCGCGTGTTACACGGGTCTCTCCGCCCCGTTGTGGTGGTGGTGGTGATGACGGTGACGATGGTGGTGGATGACGGTGTGTGGCGATCGGTTTACGCGACGTTGATTGATGACATGGGATGTGGACAACAACAACAACAACACCTTCAACTGATGGATGACCAATGGCCTACAACGCGTCAACTCCAACAACCAACCTCCAACCCTCAACAACGACGACGACGACGACGACGACAACAACCAACCAACCAACCAACAACCTGTGCTGCGCTTCAACACAACCACGACGGCGACTACGACGACGACAACATTTGTCGTGTCCAATTGGGTTCATCTTCTTCCTCTACATTGGGTCCTACTACTACTATCATCGTCGTGTTCAACAACACAACCATGTTGGGGTCATACTAACCCCCCTGGGACCAATTATGAAACGAAACGGCACACGCTCTCTACTCCGGGTGTATCTCTCGGGGTTGGTTGGTGGTGTCCTCTTCTTCTTCTTCTTCTTCTGTCTCTGTTGGCACCACCGTGTACCCTCCTTCTTCTTCTTCTTCGCCGCCGCCGCCGCCGCCGCCGATACCGATTACGCCGGCCCATATAGAGCCCACGACCGCCCTCCGTTGAGGACGACGAAGACGGCCACCTTGTTTACCAATCCAGCGACATCCTGGCAAATAGATGTTCGTGAATACATGAATACACTCATTGTAGTAGATTTAAGCGAGCCCGAGATCGATCGATTCGATCGGTCAATCGGACGGTTGTTTATATTATATTATTCCATTTTTAATATCCGGTATTCTCTCTCTCTCTCTCTCTCTCTCTCTCTCTCTCTCTCTCTCTTGGGAAACTGTTTTTCTCTTTCTCTCTATTTCTATCTATCTTTCTTTTTCTTTTAAATATACCATACCTTTTGTTTTTTATTTTTATTTTGATCATTTCCACCCACCCCCACCCTTCTTTCTCTTTCTCTTTCTCTTTCTCTTTCTCTTTCTCTTTCTCTTTTAAACACACATACCTTTTTTTATTTTTATTTTCACCTCTCGAAAGATCTTGGATCGTTTCCACCACCACCCCTTTCCATTCTTTCTCTCTCTCTCTCTCTCTCTCTCTCTCTTTCTTTCTTTCTTTCTTTCTTTCTTTTTAACTATATCTATTTCCTTGTCTAACTCATAGACATCATTACGGGCTGCAAACTAATACCTACATACTTACATTCATACTTACATTCATACATACATACATACATACATACATACATACATACACCATGAACGAAAATAGAACTTAACACCTCACGGGTTAAAGTCTCGCGTTAGAGAATGTTTTAAACTCTCTGCAATTGAGATTGCTCTTTCAGTTTTAATACACGCATATGTATATAATATATTTATATATGTGTGTGTGTGTTACATTTGATTACATACCTTTCTTGACCAGATGGTACATTATTGTATTGTTTTTCCCTGTACAATCGTTTTTCTATTTCTTTCTTTTTTTCTTTCTTTCTTTCTTTCTTTCTTGATTTGTATTTAAAAAAAGAAAAAGAAAAAATTCATTCACCAAAGGGTGAGAATGATCTCATTTTAAACAAGCAGAGTAAATTCTATCTCTATTTTTAAATTCGCACTTAAATTTTTTACATACTTTGATGGTTTATTTTTTTTTTTTTTTATAGTTTAACACACTTTATGGTTTAAGTATGGGATCGTAAATAGGAAGAAGGAAGTGTTAGAAAGAATTTTTGTTTCTTTTTTTTTTCTTTCGAAAACGAGAATTAGAAACAAAAACGCAATCTCTTCTCTTTTCCTCTTCTTTCTTTTCTTTCATTATTATTATTATTATTTTTGTTTTTTTTTTTAATTATAAATCTTTCCTCATCCTTCCCAATAAAATGATGATACACATCTTTTTTTTTTATGGGACGAGTGACAAAGAGAGATTATTCCACGAGGAGAGACAGACGGAGAGACACGAGGGAGGGAAGAGACGTTTAAAGAAAACAAAAATAATTAAAATAATAATAATAAATCAATATATATATCGTATATATATATACAGAAATCGAGGCAACAGTATAAAAACAAATATAGAATTCATTTCTTCAGTAATAGTTTTTTATTTAAAAAAAAAAAGTAAGAAAGAAAAAAAAAGAATAGAAGTTAAACATAAATGGAAGTAAATTAAAGATAATATATAAATAGAGCGAAATAATAGAAAAGGAAATTTAATTCGCGTTATCTCTTCGACACATACACACATATATATTATATATATATATATATAATGCGTCTTCTTCCTTCGGTTGAGACGTCATTTTTTTTTATCGTCTACGAGAATATAATCCATCTTGGCATTTACTCTCTCTCTTTTCTCGGAGGTTATCTCTCTCTCTCTCTCTCTCTTTCTTTCTCTATCGATCACTTTCTCAATCTCTTTGTATTTCTATCTTTATTTTGATCTCTAACTTTCCTTTTTTTCATTACCTACACATATACTCATATACATATATTATAATCCATTTATATACACACGCATAGATAATTTTCTATTTCTCTTTCTTTTGATTTCTTTGTCTCTTCTCCTCCGTGGCACTTTTAAATAACGTTACAACCTTTCTCTATAAAGAAAAAGAACACACACACATATACATATACTTTCCCTTCTCCCCATTTTGTTTTCAACACATACACACGACTCCTCCTTCAGTTAATTATAATATTATCCTTCTTAATTTGAAATTACGAGATTAACCGTCCGGTGTGGGAGAGACAGTAAATGCCATTATTACACCTCCCGTTCACCATACTGCTGTCTTCTTTGATTATTATTATTTAAACGGGCCCATAGGAACAAATAGTAGCAAGTGTATAATAGGGTTGACCAAGTAAAGTTTGAACCAAAAAAAAAATAAATGAGAACCCAAGAAAAGAAGAGTCAGCAGCAGTGTTGTGTCGAATATTATTTTCGAGCCAACCGTTCGAACGAATAACGTCTTTTTTTTTCACACTCTTTTCTTCACGTTCGTTCGTTCACTTATATGCATATATATATATATATACAATTCATACATATATATACATATATACATATATATAAATCCGCGTGTATATAAATGGATTCCGACCAAACGCCCACGCGGAAGAAGTCTCGTTCTAGTTTCGTCTCTTGAAAGTGTCCTTGCTTTCCTTCGGGAAAACCTTCTTTTTCCTTTTCCTTCCCTACCCTTAACATACCGTTCCCTTTCCTTTTTTTTTTTAAACTCTACTTCTACTTCTTCTTCTATTCTCTCTTTCTATCTATTTCTTGTATTTTATTCTTTGTATATTTTAATTTCATTCATTTTCTATTTTATTTAATATCCTAAGCTTTTTATGGCTAACTTTATGACAATAATCTTTCTCTAATTTTTATTTTTATTCACTTTCATTATTAAAGATACATTCATTTTTTATATTAATAATAATCATGCAAATCTTTTTGAAGGTGAACAAGAGGTCTCCTCCCTCCTACTTTTCCTCCTAATCCTCCTCTTCCTTTCCAAATTCTTTTTATTGAATTTCTTTTTCTTTTCTATCTATGTTGTATCGATATTTTTTTTTTTTTTTTAATTTCTTCTACCTTTCTCTTTCTTTATTTCTCTCTCTTTCTCTCTTTCTCTCTATCTATCTTTYTCTCTCTCTCTCGGTACGTAATAATATTACACAGATACGCGTGATAATCGAGAACGAGAGATCTGTTTCGTGGGCGCAAGGTCTGTGTCGCGCCTTATAACTTACCCTGTTTTTTACATTGCAGATAAAGTACTGGCCACCCTAGGAGAGGGTACTTTTGGAAAAGTTGTCAAGGTTAAGGACTTGCAAATGTAAGTGCCAGCTCACATAAACACCTACGTAGGTAACCTACTCGCGCGTGTATATATATATATATATATATATCCTTTAATTTTTTGAAAACATGTTATTTTTATATATTTATATATACACATATGCATATATATAAATCATACCATACATGTATATACACATTTCCACCTGCATTTATTATTGTTTTTTTTTTATTTAAATTTTCTTCTATTATCTATCCTTTCGCGTGTTTTCGCGAGTCTTATAAATGCCTCAGGAAAAAATAAAGTCACACACATAAACATACATATTACATATGTACATAGAAAGGACACGTGCACAGATTATATATGCATATACAAGCCTCCTCACACGTATATGTCATCCCAAGTGGCGTATTGTACGTGGAAACACGAATCCGCCTTTGGGATATCAGAAATAGACCACGTTCTGTACTGTCGCGAGTAGTTGCAATAATAGGATGGCCTTGCACTTTGTTTTACCAGGCAACCGTCGTCGTCGTCGTACACGTTCTCTCTCTCACTCTCTTTCTCTTTCTCTCTCTCTTTCGGTGGCGTCTTGCAAAAATTGTCGTGCTGGGTGAAAATTGAGTGACGAAATTGCTTAGAGAGATGAGAAACTATTCCAACACTCTCATATCTTTCTCTTTTTTTTCTTTATTTTTTTTTGTTTTGTTTGTTTTTAATTATCTCGAGACTGTCCAACACACATACATAAATACACCCCCTCCCCCCCAAAAAAAAAAAAAAAAAAAAAAAAAGAAAGAAAGACTTCCGCTCGATTTAGAGCATAACTATGGTCGGACGAAGGTATCAACGTTTTTCGTTGTTTCCAACTAACACTTGGATTACTTTTTTTCTTTTGATACAGGGATCATGTAATGGCTCTCAAGATTATCAAGAACGTTGAGAAGTACCGTGAAGCTGCGAAGCTCGAGATCAACGCATTGGAGAAGATTGCCGCTAAGGATCCCGAGGGACATCAGTTAGTATTTGAAATGCAATTAAACAAAACCGACTACGAGGAAACGAAGGGGCAACAGTGAAATCCCTTTTTTTTTCTTACTACCTACTACTACTACTACTTCTTCTACTACACTAACTACCGTGTTCGTTCGTTGAACAATTTGTTTTAATTTTGATTTTAATCTTATCTATGTTTTACTCGTTTGTTTTAGTTTGTGTGTCAAAATGTTAGACTGGTTCAATTACCATGGACACATGTGTATCGCCTTCGAGATGCTTGGCTTGAGCGTTTTCGATTTTTTGGTAAATATATTTGGATATATTATAAATAAAATATATTAATAATATATTTTTTGTTGGCACATGCATAAATAATGTATGTATGTCTTGTTTGTTATTTTAACACTGTGATCGTGTTTCTTTTTTTTTTATTTTTCTAAAAGAAGAAAAATACGATGATGTTACAGAGAGACAACAATTATCAACCCTATCCATTGGAACATGTTAGGCATATGGGTTATCAGCTTTGCTATGCAGTCAAGTTTTTACACGACAACAAACTTACGCACACCGATCTTAAACCCGAAAATATCCTATTCGTAGATTCCGATTACGATAGCACGTACAATAATAAAAAGGTGAGTCATTTGATAATGTTTTATCGTTAGTTCAGTTTTGACACTTCGTCTTTCTTGCAACGTTAACGAAAAACGTTCTGTCTGTCTCTCGATCCCCCGGTACGTACACAAACATGATTTATTACTAAACTATTTCAAAAAGTTCTTTCTTTTTAAGCGAAAAGATGTACGACGCGTTAAAAGGACCGACATCAGGCTAATCGATTTTGGCAGTGCTACGTTTGACCATGAACACCATAGCACAATTGTCAGTACAAGACATTACAGAGCACCTGAAGTTATTTTAGGTAATTAACATATGATCTTTGAAAAATACTTTTCTTCTTTTTGTTTTTCTTTTATAACAGTTCACTTTTAAAACTAAACATTCTATTCTTACAGAATTAGGATGGTCTCAACCTTGCGATGTATGGTCCATTGGTTGCATTCTATTTGAATTATACTTGGGTATAACTTTATTCCAAACTCACGATAATCGTGAACATTTAGCTATGATGGAACGTATATTAGGTACAATACCACATCGTATGGCCCGAAAAACAAAGACGAAGTATTTCTATTATGGTAAATTAGATTGGGATGATAAAAGTTCAGCCGGAAGATATGTTAGAGATAACTGTAAACCTTTATACGTAAGTTTAGATTATTATTTATCATAACGAATCTCCTGAATAATCCTTAAATCGCATTAGACCATTTGCATCATTACATATTGTGACATACTTATTGTTTGCTGATTATTATTAACCTTACATATGCAAATGAGTATTAACAAGACTGTACAAAATTCTATTGTTGTTATATATTTGTATTATTGGCTATAGCGTTATTTGTTGTCGGACGACGAGGAACATCGACAATTGTTTGATCTTATTAAAAGGATGTTGGAATATGAACCATCGATAAGGATAGCATTAAAGGATGCTTTACAACATCCATTTTTCGATGCACTTCCGACACATCAAAGATTAACGGATCAACGTGCAGCTGGTGATTCACAACAAGGTCACGAACGATCGCATTCGCTCTCTCGATGAAGCTAGGAAAGGGACCGACTTCCGTACTGGACAGACACTATTAATAATAATAAGAAAATAAATAATAATAATAATAATAATAGTAATAGTAATAATAATATTAATATTAATAATTATAAAAAAAATAATCCACTCTCAACGATATTACTGCCCTACGTTTTAGTACTCGTTTTCTCTTTATCCCATTTTTGTTCGAGTTTCTCAACAATAATGACTGTTTTTAGTTGTTGTTATTGTTGTTGTCGTAGTCGTCGTCGTTGTCGTTGTTGTTGTTGTTTCTCCATTCAAATAACTCGATGACACGTAGAGATCATTTGTATACTCGATAACATCTCGGAATTGATAAGAAAAGAAATAAAATAATGAAAAAAAAAGACATGAATCACAGGACATGAAGTTTTTAATAATAATTCCAGCTATATTATTCATATAGAGCCTATTATATAAGAATTGGTACTAGGTTTAAAGTAGAAAACGAGTACTAGGACAGCAGCAGCGTGCATACCAGCTAAGGAATGAAATAATAAAAAAAAAACTGATAGGAGGAGGAAGAGGAGGAGGAGGAGGAGAAGAAGAGTTATGCCAAATAGCGAAATTTGGTGAAAACTTGTGGTCAGTGAGAACGTTGTATGCGTGTGATAAATTTATTTCGTAGGGCCTTTTTTTTCACCGGGTCGATTTTGACGCGCGTTATATTATCTCGTGGTTTATTTCTCGGACCACCAATATAATATAATATTAATGATATGATATGATATAATATAATATAATATATATATATATACATATATATATTATAATATTAATTAATAACAATAATGATAAAATTAATAATAATAATTATAATACTGATAATAATAATGCTAAATTTCAAACGCACCAAGATCCTTTTTCTCTAACTTACTGGCATCGAAAGTCAGTCTGTTGTGTGCGTGTGTGCGTGTGTGCGTGTATGTGTGTGTGTCTGTGTCTGCTCAGTCTAGCGTAACAGAGTCCCATAAATAAATACAATTGTAAAACACACATTTTCTATAAGAAAAAGAAGACAAGAAATGAAAAGAAAAGAAAAAAAAATTAAAAGGATAAAAAAACCCTTCTGTACATTTTGCCTTTAATTTTATTATAATGTTATTACATAGAACAACAAAGTTTAGAATTAAATAATAATCATTACTTGGGAGGGAGGGAGGAGGGAGGGAGGGTCGTAGTTTATAATCTATTTGTTATGATGATCGTGACGAAATATAGTAGTATAAGTTTCGGATCCTTAGATTATAAGATCGTAGACAATTGCGTTCGTGTTTGAATAAAAGAGAATATAGAGAAAGAAAGAGAGAATATTTGTCTGTGGTGTTTGTTTGTTGTTTGTTGTGTGTGTGTGTGTGTGTGTGTGTGTGTGTGTGTGGTGAGTGAGTGAGTGAGTGAGTGAGTGAGTGAGTGAGTAATGAGTGAGTAATGAGTGAGTGAGAGTGAGTAATGAGTGAGTGAGTGAGTGAGTGAGTGAGTGAGTGAGTGAGTGAGTGAGTGAGTGAGTGAGAGAGAATGAGTGCAGTTGTAAAAAAAAATGCAAATCAACGCCAATTCCCATTATCATAAAAATACATAAACTTAAATCGTTCAACTATCCAAATGATTATCATTATTATTTTATGTAATGCAATATTTTAGATTATAATATTGTTGTTATTATCTTGAAAGAGAGATCATAAGTAAAAAAAAAAAAAACATTTCATTTATTTCTTTGATCGAACTAAAATCTAATTTAATGAAATGTAATTAAAATTAGATTTTATTTTTCATGATAAAAAAAAAACTAGATTATATATATATATACTTGTGAATTTATGGACTGTATTATCTTGCGTCTTCTTAAAGATAAAGGGAAATGTCATTTGTTCCTTACTTTCTTCTATTGACGCAATACAACGAGGATGTGATTCGTGTACATTAAATTTAATATAGCGTCCGTACCTCATTTGATGATATGATGATGTGTGAGATATACATGTTATTATAGCGAAAGCATTTCTCAACTAGTGTTATGTCATCACTAGAAGTGGTAACACTAACGCAAGTGTTATTTTTCTTTCTTCTTAGTTATTATTATTACTATTATTATTATTATTATTATTGCTATTGCTACTATTATTATTATTATAATTATAAATGCAAAAAATTTTTAAGTTAAGCTGCTCTCATTACCACGATAGGAAGAAGGATGCCTAATTAACAGAAAGTAATGTTTCGATTAGTAATAAAAATACGTTTCTTCGAATTAATCGAACTCGATGTTTTTATTATTCATTAATAGCTTTTTAAATACAATTATACCATGTCAAAGAATAAGGATGGTAATTTAAAAAAAAAAAATAGTATTAATTTAAGTGTAAGTTATATCTCGTGTGTGTTGTTGTGTTTTATCGAAAGATAAATTTCGATCGTTCTTCTTAATTTTTCTTCTTTTTTTTATTTCAATGAAAATTATATCTCGCAATTGCAATATTTTTTTTTTTTTTTTTTACAATGATACTTTATTACCCGATCAACAGGCTTTCTTAACAATAAATAGCCGAATAATATAAATTTTAAATTATATACTTTGTCGAAACTTAATATCCGATATATTAAGCGTGAACGCGTGAATTCTTACGTCAGTAGATTAAGCTTATGGCCATTTATATGTTGGTGGAATAGACGATTTATATTCTGTGTTGTATAACTGTGCTTTGATGAATTCCATGTAATCTTTAGGTTCCGGTAAAACAGTAGCCAGTGCTATAAACAAAATGATATATTAATTTTCGTGAGAACAAAAAATAAGAGATATTATATGTCTAATATATTACTTACAAGATTTATAAGCGTATTCCATAATTTTTGTTGCTATACACAAAGAACATTGTTGTATATCAGCCAATGGCGGGTACAAAGTACCTCTGTCCAAATCTTCATTCGTGACCAAACCTGATAAAACCGTGGCAGCGATAAGGAACGTTTCTTCTGGAATAACTCGCATACCAGCGCAAATGGCAGCCAGTGCTACTCCAGGGAATATATAACTGTTATTTCCTTGACCAGGATAGAAAGTTTTGTCATCGATTTGAACCGGTGGGAAAGGCGAGCCACTCGCAAATAAACACTTTCCCTGTGATAAGTCATAAAATTATAATTGTAAGTTATTAACTATCTGTGGTATCAATTACTTAGAAGAATAATCATTCCTTTATATATTATATTACCATAGTAGCCTTATAAGCTTGATCAGCCGTACACTCTGCTTTACTGGTAGGATTACTTAAAGCAAAGATGATTGGTCTCTCGCTATTCCGTGCCATTTCTTTTAATATTTCTTCGTTAAAGGCAGATCCTACAGCTGAGGCACCAATCAATACAGTTGGTTTAGCTGTTTTAACAACATCTAATAATTTTTCAATAGGTTCACATTCCCTGGCAAATTCTAATTTATGTTCCGTAACTCCGCCACTTGGACGATTCTTAACGACCAATCCTTTCGAGTCTACCAACCAGATTTTGTTCTTTGCTTCCTCTTTGCTTACACCTTCCTTCTGCATCGCCATTACGCATAACGTAGCGATGCCTAATGAAGCCTAATTGTCAAGTCATCCCAGGTATTAAGACAATAACTACTATTCCTTTTAATAATCCATACATTTGTATCAGTTTCATTCAATTATAGATACAAACCTCTCCTGCTCCAAAGAAGACAATCGTATTTTCGGAAAGCTTCGTATTCGTCACTCGAAGAGATGCTAATAAACCAGATACTGCAACCGAAGCTGTACCCTGTATGTCATCGTTAAACGTACAATAATGATCGCGATATTTGATCAATAGTCTGAAGGCATTGGCATTTCCAAAATCTTCAAATTGTATCAAGGTATTTTGTCCGTAACGTTTTACTACCGCTTTCATAAATTCATCCAGAAATTCATCGTATTCTTGACCTGTGACACGTTTATGTCTGTGTCCAATATAAAGAGGATCGTCTAACAATGACTGAAAATCATTATTATTATTATTATTATTATTATTATTATTATTATTATTATTATTATTATTATTATTATTAATACTTCTTTTGAAATATTACAAAAAATAAATTCATTTACAATACACCATATTAAAATTTTACCTGTGTGTTAGTACCAACATCAAGAGTTATAGGAAGACAATTGTGTGGTTTAATACCAGCCAAGGCCGTATAAAGAGCTAACTTTCCTATTGGAATTCCCATACCGTGTGCTCCTAAATCACCAAGTCCAAGTATCCTTTCTCCATCGGTAACAACGATAGCACGTACGTCATGTTCAGGCCAGTTTTTCAAGATGTCATAAACGTATCCCTTGTCATGTATACTTATGAACAAGCCACGTGGTCTACGATAAATCAAACCAAATTTTTGACAAGCTTGACCTACTGTTGGCGTATATACCAATGGCATCATCTGTTCAACATTGTCCATCAGTAAACGATAAAACAATCTTTCGTTTCTATCCTAAAATAATGGGTAATTCATTTTTTATAGTAATCGTTCAATCTTATATCTGTGTGATTAATTATTTTTAAATAAATATATATATATATA